ATCAATCAGTCACTTGTAAAATGGTATTCACCATACTTCTTTAGACTCAGAGACCTCCAGAGGGCACTGTAGTCATTTTCAGAAAACTTAAGGAAGCTCAAGTGTTTCAAATTTATTTGACACTAGACAGTTTCTCTGTTATTTGTGAACAATGTGAGAGCAGGGGCTTCCTCTCAAGGCAAATCGTCATCAAACTGCCTCTGGCAGTCTCCCTCTGATGAGGAAACAGTTCCCAGAGCTCGGGATCATATGGTGGAAGGGAAATGTGAAGTACTCATATTGGCACAATATTCCTCATAAACACCCAACTCCATGCTTTGAACTCAGTAGGAAACAAAGACCAATTCAAATATTCAACTCACACAAAATATAAGGAAAGCTTCCAATGTTCACATCATGGCTGGTCACCTATTCTTTCATTTCTCCTTACTTACAATTCAGAGTAAGAGAAATTTTAGATATATCCTCTGTCTTCCTTCTTCATTCATAGCATGTTTGTGTTTGCTATCAAGATCCAGTTTTCAGACATGGTGACTGATGAGCATTCACTATGTCCTCAGGAGGAATAGTCACTTTCACTCAGGCTCCAGGACCTGAGTACTCAGCAATGTTCACTACCCATTCTTATTTCAGAAAAATCAATGTCATGTGCCCAGAATACCATTTTACAACACAAGGAACATACACTTGTGGATCACCACTGGTTTTTCTGCCTCCCTAAATGGGGACAAATCTACCATGACCTTCTCAGTGTCCCAGCTTGATCACAAGTGGGAACGCTACTGTTTGCTACTTTCCTGCAGTACTCAGCACAGTGATTTACAAAGTTTTGGGGTCAATATATAACCTGGGTATAAACAAACCAGACACTGCTCTCAGGAACCTTAATATTGATTATCCATACACATAAAGGTAAATCTGAGTCCTGACTCGACATCTAATCCTGTTTGACACTTTAAGTGGAGGTGTCCCATAACCATAAAATTGGATTATTTATTTTCCCAACACAACATTAATAGGTGGATCTCATCTGATTACAGAGGTCAGCACATTCGTCCAAAGAACAGTATTCAGTAATGTTCTTTTGTCAATCTAAGAGCAAAGTGCAGAAATGTCCCTTTGTATATCTCTAATATTCATTTTATTAAGTGAAATTTAACATAACAAGAATTAATAACATTTAATATAATAAAAGAATTTTGACATAATAAATATATTAACATAGTAAAAGTTGCTTTCCAATTTTGTTATTTTTATTGGTGCATATTAATTCTACATAACATGGACTTGCATTGTGACTTTTTCATATGGGTTTACAAAGTACTGTGATTATATTTATTCCTCCATTATTCTAACTCCTCTACCTCTTCTCTATTCTTCCTTTCCTTCTATCTTGTTGTAGTTTTAGGACGATGTTGTATTTTTAGGACCTTGCTTACTATCCGGTTTTAATTTCCCCTAATATTCACAAATGGGAGAAAGCATGTGATATTTGTCCTTGTGGGACTGGCTTAGTTCACCTAGCATGATGATCAACAATTCCACCCATTTCTGAACAAATAAGATTTCTTTCTTTATAATGGCTGACTAAATCCCAACTGCTTACACAGACCACATTTTCTTTATCCATTCATCCATCAATGAGCATTAAGGCTGATTCCATCATTTGGCTATTATGAAAAGTGCTATCATGAACTGACTTTATGGTATATGCCCAGAGAACGTATGTCTGGGTCATATGGGAGTTCAAATTTTGAACTTTTACAGAAAATCCATGTTGATTTTCATTGTTTGCTCCCTAATTCAGGTTCTCACAAGCAGTAAATGAGAATTCCCCCCTTCACATCCTCACCAGCAGTTTTTGGTATTTGTTTTATTGATGATAGCCACACTAATTGGTCTGAGGTAAAATATTAATGTTCTTTAGCTTATGGTTCTCTGATGGCTAATATGTTGAATAGTTTTTTCAAATTTTTCTTGCCTATTTGCAATCTTCAGTTCAGAATTGTCTGTTCAGTTCATGGGCCATTTATTGATTGAATTTTTTCATGATTGAGTTCTTCATATATTCTGGATATTAATAACAGACACATAATATGTGGTTACATTTTCTCCCACTCTGCAGGATTCATCTTCAGGTTGTTTATTGTTTATTTGCTGTGCAGAAGTCATGTGTAGTTGATATAATTACACATGTCAATTCTTGCTTGATTTCCTGGGCTTTTGGTAGCACATACAGGAATTCGTTCCTATGCTGATATTTTGGAGGAATTTGCCTACCCATTTCTGTAGTACTTTCATAGTTTATAGGTTGACATTTAGGTCCTTGATCAATTTTTATTTTATTTTTGCTCAGAGTAGGAGCTAGTCCTCTAGCTTCAGAAATCTGCACATGAATATCCATCATACCACTTCAAAATATTAAAAATTATCAGTTATAGAAATGAATTTCTTCCATAATGTTGTGTATAGAAACATTTTTCCCTGGGAAGGGATATTAAAATGGTAGCTCCATTACACAGGATAAGACCCCATTTAAGCAGCATCAGCCACACATCATCAGGTAAGATTAGACTGTGGTATAATAAGGTAGACTCCACCCATCATGCCTGATATGCTCATAAGGAAGAAACTCTGGAAGACAAGACTTTTAGGGTAAAGGAAGATGGAGCAGTATTCAGTGCACTGGATGAAGGTGACTGTTCTGCTCTGCTCGGAACATCTGTATTGCTATGTCACAGGGAGTGCCTATCAGGGAGACAGCAATCCAGATTGACCTTTAAGCCAAACTGTGAGAAGGACAGGAAGACCAGACAGTGTGCAAGTGTGTGGAGACATTAGACTAAGGTGATCAATTATGGGAACTTCCAACTCCATCCATTCACAAAGTATAAAATGGATAGTTGACAATATAAATGTTTATGACCTCTGGGAAGCTGGGGATTCTGTTGCCTTTCAGTGTGGTCTCTGTGCTTTATGTCCTTCCTGGTAGTATCCTCACAACCCTCTTCTGGTTTTTGATCTCGTGATTGTTAACTGTCAGAAACTGTGTCCTCACTTGCCCTAGGCACAGAGCAAAACTCACACCCATGAGGTTATTATTTCCAAATATCAGATTTTCAAGCTAGTACTATATTCAGAACACAGCATGTGTTTGTACAGCACATGGATGCTAGCTTTACATGAAATTCCTCCTCAGCTCTTGTTGCTGGAATGAATAGAAGAAACTTTCAGAACCCAGGACCAAATGAGGTTCTTCAAAATGCAGAGCTATAGAGCATTCTTCATGATGGCCTGGGCTCAAATCCTTCCAACACTTCTTATGACTTCACAGGCAGTTAGAAATTACATTTCAGGGATAGGCATGAAATGTTAGGACACCCTGCATGTGTTCCTGACCATTGAATTTCACTTCCTGCTTGCTGCTTGCCATCCTAACCCAATCTGTGCAGATTCATCTATTTTCAGTGTCCATTAGTGAAGGTCAGATATTCAGAAAGCCTGCTCTGGGAACAACAGCAATGTTGCATCCAGGTATATGACTTTTGCTAGCAGCTCCCAGGCAGAGTCTCCACACTACTCATGAATATTTGCAAAAGTCCATCTTCAGGAATGTCAACACAATTCTCAAAACCCTGGTCAATGAACATGACATCCCTGAGATCTCCCGGCTCTTGACAGAGGGTGAAGGTGATTGCTACTGCCTACCTTGGAGGGCAAACATCAGCACTCACACCATGCTGAAGCATTGTGGAAGTGATAGAGGAGCTGCCATCTGCACAGTGATGTTCTGCTAAATAGAGCACACAGTTCTTGGCCATCAGGTGACTGATCTTGATTCTTTGTTGTTGTTTTGTTTTGTTTTTCTAAAATTAGGATTTCAGACCCACTTTAGGGAGCATGTTCTAGAGAATAAGGTCAATCCTCTCAAAATATGTATCCAAATTTAACCATTGGCAAGAACACATGCCAGTATCAGGCTGTCCAGAGACAGAGCACATGCTGTGTCAGAACAAAGCCGGGGCCAAAGCACTCATGGTCTGGATGAGAATGATTGACTCTCCCATACTCCATCTAACCACACCATTTACTGAACACTCACTCTGTGCCAGGGCCTGGGGTCAAGTCTCAGAACATAGTGTGAACCAGACAGGAAAGATGATATTCTCATTTAGCTGACAATGCATTTTACCAGAGAGAAGAAAATCAAATAAATATACCAATAATAAAAACATATTATCACAGAGTAAAAAGAAGATGTGATTAGGTGGATATAGGAGCCTCCAAAGGGCTGACACAAAAGAGTGACAATTTAATTTCTGTAATGAAGAAAACTCCAGATGCTACAAAATAGGTGATAGAAGATGATGGTTGAAAGTAGGGAGCAAGGTCACTGGAAGAATTCAGATTCTAAATGGTTCTGTGGGATAAAAGAAAGAGTAAGGACTAGCTTGAGAAGTTGGTCAGATAAAAGTGTTCTGCACAACAAGGGAATGAGCTCATAGACAAGTATATTGGTTTCACAACTTGAGCTGATTTCACATCTGCAATATCTGAACTTCTTTAATCGCAATCGTCATCATCGCTGTTAGCAAAACGTAAAAAGCCTCAAAAGAGCCACAGGCATTTTTCTCTTCTCCAATGAGAACAACAGTATCTCTATTTTATATTTATTTGACATGTCCTTTATTTAAGAGATAGTAACAACATCATCACTCCACAAAAAAAAGCCACACCACCTTTCATCCAAAACACATTAATCTGAAATTCAATACCCCCAAAGATCAACAAAAACCAAAAATGCTTATGAAGGCCTTGTCTTCCACAAGAATAGAGGAAATAGATGTGTAAAGAAACTAAAACATTGCCTCAGTTTCTCAACTTTTCTTGTTTCCTCTTCTCTACCTTTCTCCTCGGGTGAGGACCAAACACAGGAATGAAGCTCAAGACCCTCTAATTTTGCCATACACATCATCCGGAAACACTTTCTTCTTAATTACATGAATCTGCAGCTCAGGTCACTGCTGGTCACTGCTGAGATTATCCACATCATGGGTCTTGGTCAGAGAAGTGTTGTCACTGTCACCTCCTGATTTCCAATTCTGGGCAATATCAGAGTGAGCCTGACTCTCAGTCAGCTGTGACTCAGCCCCTAAGGGCATAACTTCACCTGTTGTGAGTCCTGAACAGACTTGAGGGTCCACTGAATTGGGTTCTCTACAGATTTCAACCAGGTTATTCTTTCATCATTGAGTAATATGTTAAATACTCAATCCTACAGTCCTTACACTTTAAAACTAATACACCAATATTAAAAAACCAATATTAATCTATACTACACTATTAATAAATATCAGGGTTTAAAATATCTCCCAACAAAGAAAAGTAAATATGTTCTATGTCTTAGGAAAAAGTCCATAATCCAATAAATGAAATATGTGAAATTAATGATAGTTCACTCTTCAGACACAGGAGATAAGGCAGGTTCATCTTTGGCTCATCTCAGTAGACACACTAGAAAAGATTATAAAAAATAAACACATGTACTATATAATATAAACATATCAGTATAAAATATTTTCCTTCTGAGATATTATGAGGAGGTCAAAATGACAGTAAATCTTGGTCAAAAAACATTTCAAAATAAAGTATTCACTGTAAATGTGGAAGACATTTGAATAAAAGTTTCAGTGCTTCAGAAAAACTAGTCATTGCAAAGTTTCCTATTATGAACACCAAAACCACCATGTTTGTCTCCTCTATCCTGATCTGAAAGGAATTTGCCCAGCAGACATCAAGTCAGTCAGGGCCAATGAGAATTTAAGTTGGCTTTGGAAACATTTTTTCCCCTAAGCAGTCTGTGTATAGCAAAAAAGTGAAGATGTTTGATGTCAGAGTGAGTCTACAAAGGGAGATCCTAGGCAAGTTTGAGTTACTATGTATAAAGAGATCATTTGGAAGGCAGGACTGCCTCGGAGGGTCTTTGCTCACCATGTGAAATGCAGAGTACATGACCCAGATCTAAAAGAGCACATAAAGACTGTTATTGAAGTGCTTGTGTGATGAGATCTAGAATGAGCTAAGTGGCCTGGCCTTACGTCATCTTATCAGGGCTTACACAGTGACTCCCACAACATGAAGCCCATCCATCCACACTGCATAGCACAGTGGTATCTTCAGACTGTGGCATCAGAGTATCAGAAAAATAATAGAGAATCCACATTTGCATAAGTGGGTATGCCCATTGTCAGAGAATGAAGACGGGCAAGGGGAAGACTTGAGTCAGCTCTGTCCAACTCTGAGGCACAGAAGAACTCCATCATGACCTTGTCCTCATTAATCACCTCCTCACTGACTGCACAGGTGCTTGGACATGGGGTGTGGGTAGAGCTTGAAAAAACTAGAGGCACGGCCTTCTCCTCCAATATTGACCCCAAATTACTATCTGTTCTTCCCTCTTTCAGGATCCTGGGCACAATCTGTGTTGACTCAGCCATCCTCAGTGTCTGGGAACCTTGGACAGAAAGTCACCATCTCCTGTGCTGGAAGTAGCAGTAACATTGGAACCTATAATGTGCACTGGTATCAACAGCTGCAAGGAACCTCCCCCAAGCTCCTCATCTATGATAATAGCAAACGACCATCATTGATCCCTGATCGCTTCTCAGGCTCCAAGTCTGGTAACTCAGGCACACTGATCATCATGGGGCTCCAGCCTGAAGATGAGGCTGATTATTACTGTAAGTCCTATGATGATAACTTCAATGCTCACACATTGCTTCAGGTCCATATGGAAGTGAGACAAGACACCTTCCTGTTCTGCCACTAGGGTGAACACCCAGCTGGTGCTGCTCACTCTCAGTTCATTGGTTTTCATGGCATAAGATTTACAAATGGGATCATGCAGTATACAGTCCTTAAATTCTAGTTTATTTCACTATGCATCTTCTTTTGGGCACAATGCCATTATGTGCTGAATACTCCAGGAGATACCTCAAGATTTCATGAACCTGGGCACATCTGCCTTGAAGGCTCTTATTCTATAATAGATGAATATTAAAAGACTTTTTTCACTTTCCATCAATTCTCAGACAAATAAAATACCATTTGAATTACATTCATCTTAATTCTGATTCTGAAAGAAATCAACATATTTTATTAGGCCTCTGAAAATATTTTTTTGTTTCATTGTCACTGTCATTTGAACTCTCAGCATCTCCATTTCTAGGCAGCCACTTTCAGCACTTGAGCGACTTTGCCAGCCCAATATTGAATCTTTAAAACACTTTATGAGGCACACTTATGAAGTTGCTTTTGGGTGCACAACCTGCTGAATTTCACAATTTACTGAGACTCACCTCCCCACCATGCCAATTGTTTGATTGTGATGATACTGATATACATTGCAGTTTATAGGAGAAAGAACAAAAATCCTGGCAGGATCCCCACACTCTGGCCCTGGGCACAAGTTCCATGTGAAACAGCTGTATCCCTGCTATGCCAGGAATCCCACCCCTCCAGCCATGCCAGATCCCCACTTGATTGGAGCCCCATGCTTGGGCAGTGCCAGGACTTAGCTCCACACTGGATCCATGCCCCACCACGATAATTGCCCCTCAGGCCCCCTGCCCCACAGGACCTGCTGGGCCCCAGATCAGTGTGGGAAAACCAGAGCTATACCACAACAGGATCCCACACATTGGCCTGGGAATCAGCTCTCTGTGAGACAGCCTTATCCTTCGCATGCAGGGATCTCCACCCCTTGGGAAGAGCCAGGTCCCAGCTGTACAGGCTTGCCACATAGCCACTCCACCAGGCTCCCACCGAGGCCACTACAGGAGGTTTCCAAAACTGCCTAAGAGACACAGACACACAGGACTGGATGCTAAAGGAGTAACATCAGAAAAACTAAGACTGCAATTCTACTGTTCCAGAACTGGTGATTATTTTTTCTCTTCTGTAAGGGTTTTGCTGTCCAGTTGGCTGTTTGATCACCACCATCTCTCCCATTTCTTCACTTTTTTTCCTCTTCTTTCTTTCTTTTATCTTTCCTTCTCTTTGTTTTTTCTCCTTCTCTCTAGGTTTTGTTAATATCAATATTGTAACCCAGCTAATACTAAATTAAACATAGTTCAGGACAGAAGTGTATCTAGTGGAAATATGGGAAGAAGAAAAAGGGATGGAAACCATTCTTTCCCCTCAAAAAAGAAGTACAGGATTTAGACGGAAATGAAGAAAACAGATACCCAGTTCCAGACTCCAACAAAACCCTGAAAAAATGAAATCCTACAAGTAATTAATGAGAATTTCATAGAGATTTTACTAGACATGTCAACCAAAACATGCAGGAGGCATCAAGTAATTCCAAGACAACAGAAATAAAGAATATGAGAAAACACAGAAACAAATAAATGAAATCATAGGAGCCCTAAATAAACACCAAACTGAAACAGAGATCACCAAAAATAGAGAGATAAATGAATTAAGGGCAAAAATTTACACTATTAGTGAAGAAGTAACCCACGATATGGAAAACCTCAGAAAAAAGAATGAAACAGAAATAAAAAACAAAATAGAAGGCCATTCTAGCAAAATAGAAAAAAAACAGAAGACAGAATCTCAGAACTTGAAGATGAAATGGCAACTAAAGTCCTGTGAAAAGAAAATGCAAGAACACACTGACTCCATCAAAAGACCATGAGAATCATGGGCATTGAAGAAAGAGAAGAGGTACAAGAAAAGGAATGTGTAATATACTCAACAAAATAGTAACAGATAATCTTCCAAATCTATAGAAAACTATGCCCATTCAGGTATAGGAAGCCTCTAGAACACCTAACACACCTGACCAAATCAGAACTAACCCACGACATATTATCTTTAAAACAACAAGTACAGAGACTAGAAAAAGAATATTGAAGGCTGTAAGAGAGAAAAAACAAATAACATACAAAGGCAAACCTATCAAAATCACAGCAGATTTCTCCATGGAAACCTTCAAAGTCAGAAGAACATGGAGTGAGGTCTTCTGGGAACTAAATGAAAATAACTTCAATCCTAGGATACTCTACCCAGCAAAACTATCATTCAACATACATGGAACAATAAAAGTCTTCCAGGATAAGCAGAAACTTAAACAATATATGACCACCAAGCCACCACTACAGAAGATTCTCCAAGGAATTATGCACACAGAAAATGAAAGCAAACAACATCATGAAAAGGCAGGCAGGACCAAACTACAGGAAAAAAAAGGCAAGAAAGCAAAGAGTAACACTGATTCAGCTACACACAATCAAACCCTTAATCAACAAAAAACAACTACATGACAGGATCACACGTATTTATCAATATTAACACTGAATGTTAACGGACTAAGTTCCCCCATCAAAAGACATTGATTGGAGAACTGGATTAAAAAGGAAGATCCAACAATCTGCTGCTTACAGGAGGCCCACCTCACAGACAGAAATAAGCACTGACTGAGAGTGAAAGACTGGAAGAAGATTTACCAAGCCAATGGTCCCCAAAAACAGGCAGAGGTAGCAATATTTACTCAGCCAAAGTAGATTTCAAAACTACTTTGATCAAATGAGATAAAGAAGGACATTCTATACTAATAAAAGGAGAAATACACCAGAAGGAAATAACAATTTTCAACCAATATGCACCCAACATCAATGCACGAATTTCATCAAACATACTCTGAAGGACCTAAAAACATATATAAACTGCAACATAGTGTTGGTGGGAGACCTTAACAGCCCACATCACCACTTGATAGGTCATCAAAACAAAAAATCAATAAAGCAATCCTACAACTAAATCACACCATAGATCAAATGGACCTAGCTGATGTCTACAGAATATTTCATCCAACTTCTGCACAATATACATTCTTCTCAGCAGTCCATGGAATGTTCTCCAAAACTGATCATATCTTAGGGCACAAAGTAAGTCTCAGCAGATGTAAGAAAACAGAAATAATCCCATACATTCTATCTGACCATAATGCATTAAAACTAGAAATCAACAACAAAAATGGCAGTAAAAACATACGAACATTTGAAAGCTGAACACTAAGACTCCACCTCACCCCTGTTAGAACAGCCATCATCAAAAATACCACCAACAACATGTGTTGGTGAGGATGTGGGAGAAAGGAACCCTGGTACTCTACTGGTGGGAATTCAGGTTTGTGGAACCTCTCTGGAAAAGTAATTGGAGGCTTCATAAAAATCTAAATATAAATCTGCCATATGATCCAGCAATTCCAAACCTAGGGGTATACCCAAAGGAATGCAACACAGGTTACTCCAGAGCCACCTGCACACCCTTGTTTATTGCAATGCTATTCCCAATAGCCAAGTTATGGAAACAACCAAGACTCCACACTACTGATGAATGGATCAAGAAAATGTGGTACTTGTACACAATGGAATTTTATTTAGCTATGAAGAAGAATGAATCTTCTCATTTGCAGGTAAAGGGATGGAACTGAAGAAAATATCTCTGAGCGAGGTCAACCAGGCTCAGAAGACCAAATATCATATGTTCTCCCTCATAAAAGGACTTTAGATCTAGGGCAAATGTAGCAATGTGGTTGGACTTGGATCACATGACAAGGAAAGAGCACATACAGAGGTATGGAGATAGGTAGAAAACCCAAAATATGAAAGCATTTGATGTCCCTACTCCAGAAGTATTCATACAGAGACCTTAACGTGACAGAGGTTAACATGAAAAGGGGATCAGTAACCAGTGTAAAGATCAGTTAGAGATGACTCAACATGGGTTGTAACACATGGATATATGAAAGCAATGCTAGGAATATTTCTGAACTCAACTAGCAAAAATGCTTTGACTTCCTTATTATGAATATGTCTTTTCTTCAACAAAATTAGAGATAAGGGCAGAACAGGTTCTGCCTGGAATTGAGGGGAGGGAGGTGGAAGGCAGGGAGAAATGACCCAAACAATGTATGCACATGTGAATAAATGAATAATTAAAAAAAATAATGATAATAAAATTCAGAATAAAAATGAAAAAAAGGAATGAAAAGTGTAATGTAGTCCATATCAATATCTTACCTAATTGACAGCATCTCCAAAAGCCTCTGGGACAGATGTCATCTAATGTTTTTTTGCATGGTGATGTGCTAGTGAAGCCCTGAGTTCTGCCATGTCTAATTCACTAATCCCTCAAGACAACACTTGTTAAAAGTATTGTGGGATGGGATCTAAGAGAAGATTACCTAAGAGATGCACATATCATTTTTGAGATTATGAAAAGAACATTCTCCACAATCTTTGTGGAATCTATTTCAGACTCTGTGGATGAGGAATTGTAAGAATAAAATTCGATATTTACAGATATTAAGGATTAACACCATAAAAGGATTCTTCAAGCATGGCCAAGGGCTTCCATGATAAGAAAGTTCAACTTTGGTTGTTCTAGGCAGTGAACTCCTTTCAATTGGCTCAACTTTATGCACTGTGGGCTCTGTCAAGGACATCTTCATGAATTCTGATATCCCAGGTTTAAGCAAAAAAGAAAATTCCATTGCACAACCTATGACCTGAAGAAGGGGGTCAGAGAACAGGAGAGCCAGGTGTGGAATTGGGGCAAACCACAACTGGAGACTGACTATTTTGACACTTTGGGGAGGACACACAGAATCTAGAGTGAAAAAATGCATGTTATGGTAGTTATGGGGCCGTGAGTTGTCCCTTAGGTTTCTGAAGATATCACTTGAAAATGAGGACCACTGTGTTCTGTCATGTCCTTCTTTCTTCAGCCTCTGCAACTATGAGATTCTGGAATGACTTG